CCCAGAGGGATCTCCCTCCCTCCCTCGTTCTCCCTTCTTTCTCCTTCCTGTTTTCTCTGCCAGAACAAGACCTTTACATAACACACTGCTAAACCTCTGCTGAATGAAGGAGCAGAAATGGGTAACTATAGGACATAAAGTAAGATGTGTAGGATAGAAAGAGACAAATGGAAATCTCAAATACATCCTACGCAATTTTCCAACCAGCTCAATGTGTATGAAGTTGAATGTCAAGCTCATTACATATACGCTGCATTTCTGTTTATAACAAAATTTATATTATGTTTGTCCCAACAGACAAAAGCAGAAACAATGCCTCAAGAAGTTCACACTCTAGAAAACAGGATCTCAAGCAAAGAACTGGACCGTTAGCATGGAATGAGTTTGGGGCCAGCGTGGTCAGATGCGCTCAGTGCTGCCTGACCTGTTCCCACTTGTGACTTGGCCAGTACTCAGCTCTGTACTCAGGGTTAAAAACAGACCCTAAGGATTGAGATGACAACAATGAGCAGTCATGAAGTTATTTTAAATACTGTAACTTACACTAGGAGGGAAGTTTTAGCTAGATGAATGACCTATCCGGTCGTTAGGCTTTTCCCAACCCAATCTTTCAATCCATTGTCTACTGAAACAGACTCTTACTACCCAGACTGATAGAAACGGAGACTTGACAAAGTGACTCGTGATTTCACTGATCCTATGGACCAAGACTATCGTCATGAAGGTGGCATTTTTACTGTCTACTCTGCCTGCCCAGACTCCAGCTCAATGCCCAGCTCTTTATTTTTTTGCATATAAAAATTTTACTCTTATGTAAAGTACAAAATTTGATCACACTGAATACATTTATAGGGTTTCTCTGCAGTATGAATTTTCTCATGATTTAGATTATTCATACATGCAAATGCTTTACCACACTGATTACATTCATAGAGTTTATGTCCAGTTGTGATCTTTCATGCATTTAGAGTACTGTGAAGTGAAAAGGCTTTAACACACTCATTACATTACATTATAATGCCCAGCTCTTTTATGGACTGAATAAATAAAAGAATTACTGAGTACCTACTAGGTGTCAATCCTATCAATCTTAAGTTCAAGGTCAGCCTGGACTGCATAAGATCCTGTCTTGAAAAGAAAAAATAAAAATGAAAACAAAAACTACCATTCTATTCTGAAGGAAAGTATCCTTAGCTATTACAAGACAAAATGGCGTAAGAAGTGCTATCATAAATCACAGGAAAACAGTAACTTTAGATGCTCTGTGTAAAAAAAAGTTTCATTTTCCTCTTAAGTATGTCTCTTAATATGCATTTCAAATGCATTTCAAAACAATATGAGATCTATTAATATAAAGCAAAAGAGAATCAGAAGACAAAATCCAGAATGTCCATAGCTAGACAAAGAAATAGAAATATCATTAGAGAAATAAAACTCTACTAAAAACAAAACTGCTATTCCAAGTGAGTCTTATATCCCGTTCCCACCCGTCTTTACTTAAGGGTTTCCTGGTTAAGATCTTCAGTTTTCTACACAATCTATTTCCAGAGGGAATGTTATACAGGAAAAGTAGAGATCCCGATTACAAAAGCATGGCGATTTGAGTTCTACACATTTAATATGTGAATCCATGGTTGCCTAAATATTAAGGCATGAACCACTGGGAAAAGTCCTTTTTAAAAATTAAAGTTTTGTAAGTATTTTGAAATCTTCTCTTAAATTGCCTATTCTTTCTAAGATTTAAATATCGCATTTAAAGAAAATATTTTTAAGTTCAGATTTAAAAAAAAAAACCCATAGATTTATATTATGTTGCCTCCTTAAGCAGTACAGCTAGAAATCATCTAAGAACCAATATTCAGGGGCTGGAGAGATGGCTCAGTGGTTAAGAGCACTGACTGCTCTTTCAGATGGACCCGGGTTCAATTCCCAGCACCACATGGCAGCTTACAACTGTCTGTAATTACAGTTCCAGGGAACCTGACACCCAAGGCAAAAAAAAAAAAAAGAACCAATATTCAAATATTTGATGTTGAGTAAATATGTATAACTCTGAGCAATATGATCAAAATACGTGTATGAAAATGTCAAGAAGATATGTTATTAATATTTTGAACATACTACTCAACCTTAAATTACAAAGCTGATAGGAGTTCTGATAGGCTGCACTTTGGCACCCTATCAGGATATATATATAGCTCAGTGACAGGAGTGTCTGCTTTTGACCTTCTCCATGGGGAGGAGAAAAGCTCTCTGGTACTTTAAAACTTCAATTTATTCAAGCAAATAGTGATCCATGAATTAGGCAGTCACTCCCAGATATGATTTTAGGGGCCTGCGAGTGACTCTGCCCAACTTTTTATGTGGGTTCTGGAGATCTGAATTCGTCTTCAGACTAATGCAGCAAGAGCTCTTACCTGATGAGCCAATCTACACAGACCCGGGATTTTACCAAGCCCATTTGAACACGGCTATTTAAAATGTACTGTAATTCCTGGAATCTCTTCCTGAGCCTGAGAATACAGATGAATTAACATATTTTATAGTACCAACTTCTAGTGGCATAGAACTGTGTGATTCCTGAAGAGTTCAGAAGTGCTCTTCTGAAGGTGGCAAGGCACTTAGAAGCACTGCATAGACGAGAAATCTCAGACACAAGATCAATAAATGAACTAAAACGTAGTTTGGGCCCAACATTTATTTACACAACAAATAACAAGACTGTCAGCCTAGTGGTAGGGATGATAATGATGGAGATGATGGCGTTGCTCTCCAGTTTACACTCTAAGGGAAATAAGAGTGTAAACAACACAGACAAACACTGTAAGACATGGTGATAAGCGAGGGGTTGCCGAACTGCTTGACAAGAGCCATCAGAGAGCTGAGGCCTGCAGGACGCAGTCAGATCATGCATGTATGGCAGGGGCTCCAGGACCTTCAGCAGAGGAAGAAGCAAGATAAAGACTGAGGCAGGAAATTCGTGGGTAACAAAGTGAACAAACAGCTGCAGGAAGAGCATAAGAGAAGAGGAAGAAATGTATAGAGACTAATTACACAGAGCTCTTCTAGGGAAAGGATTCATAGTGTAATTGGAACTATACAGAAGAGATCTGTTTTCAAGAAATCAAGAAATGATGAATGAATTGTAATATAGTCAGAAAAGCACTTGAACTACAAAAAGGCAGATGAGTATAGTTCTTGGATGATATTTTTCAACACTGGGTACGTTACTTTTGAATCCTTATATATTATATACATTTATACAAATTTTCCCAATTTTTAAAAAATTATTTCATTGTACATGGTCTAGTGTCTTTATGTGTGTGTACCTGGTGCTTTGAGGTTAGAAGAGGACGTTGGTGCCCCTGGGTCTGGAGTTATGATGGTAATTGTCATATGGGTGGTAGGAATTAAACCTTGGTCCTCTGGAGGAGCAGCCAGGGATCTTATCAGTTGAACCATTTCTCCAGCCCCACAAATTCCTTACTGAATCACAGAAATAAACAGGAAGGACCAAAACTAAAGTGTCACCCTTTCGGTTCAGAATACAGTGGTGGTAACTTGAGCCGGGGCTGGAAGCAGCAGAGGTAAAAATCAATGGACCTGAAAACATATATTGGTGATATGGTCAGTAAGGTCTTTCTGATGGACAGACAAAGGGCAGGGATACGAATCAAGGAAATCAACAGCTCTCAGTCAGAGCTTTTCAAAGTGTTAAGCTCAAGGTCTGAAGATATTTTTAGTTATCACAATTGGTGGTGCATGGGAGGGATATGGATAGTGTTCTAGGCAAGTACAGGCCAACAAGGCTCTAAATACTATAGCATGCAAACCACACAGCAAACAATTATCAGGTTCAAGATCTCAATAGTACCTAGTCTGCAGGGTGGTGGTGGTGAACGCCTTTAATCCCAGCACCTGGGGGGCAAAGGCAGGCAGATCTATGAATTCCAGGACAGCCTGGTGTACAGAGCGAGCGCCAGGACAGATTCCAAAGTTACACAGAGAAACCCTGCCTCAAAAAACAAAACAAACAAGTTAGTCTACACTGATTCCAACGTATTCCATTCTAGGATATCCACATTTCCAGTATATATGTTTTTTTGAAATTAGAAATGGAGGTTCTTTTGGTATTTACAAAAAAATTAAATAATGATAGAAGGGAGTAAATAATACTCTGGATTATTTTGATCAGAACATTTAATTGTTGTAAATCTAGTTAATGAAATAAAAAAATATTTACTGATGAATAAATGCTATTTGCCGGGCAAGGCTTTCTTAAAATTGCGACTGAGTATTTTTTAGGAACTCTTCGAGGTTTTACACCCTGGTATGATTAAATCTGTAGCCCAATACCGTTACTGTTTTTCCAAATCCACAAACATTCTGAGATAATTCAACACATGTAAAAAGGGTGAGCTGAGCTATAAAATGGCCGAGGCAGAGCTGGGTAAAAGAAAACCGCTGGTTTTATCTGCTAGCACATGACTTGTTAACTGATCTATGGGTCTTGAACCTGAGGGCACCTTAGCTTCCTTCCGGTTATCAGGAAGCCGGTAACATATATTTCTCGCATTCTAAGACTCCTGATAAGAAAGTGTTCTTAGACTGAGACGGGAAAGGGGGGGGGGGGGATAACATACAAAATGCTATTCTTAGCAAGTTGGGGACTGGGGTCATTGTGGCACACGAAGTTGAAATAGAACAGGACTTAAGAACCCTCCCTCACCCCAGTAATTGTTTGCATTACATTAGGCATGCTCAGGAACGGTCTGGGGAGATGTGTAATTATTGGCACATAAAGCAAACATTAGAAATCGCCTAATAAAAATCATCTAGTCCAGAAAACTACATTTATCTGCGGGCCCGCAGGGGGTGGGGAAAACTCAATCAAGCCAATTTGGGTGAACAAGACCGTTCGTTCACTCGCGTATGGCCACGAGACTGGCCGAATGACACACAACGCTGAGGGGTCTAACACTGAACGTCACAACACTCACGTTTTTAAAGGACAAAGGGCGGTCATAGTTTCACCATCCGCTCACCCACATTATTTTTACATAGACACTCGATAGGTAGCAATCGATCGGGAACTAAGGGCCCGGCGGGCGGTCTGATCATGCCCACGTGTGACCCCCCGACAGCCTGGCAGTCGCAGGCGGCGGCAGCTCAGCACCCCGAAGGATGCTGGGCTCCCGCCGGGGCCGCAGACGGTTCTGCAGCGTCGCCGCGGACGCGCGCGCGGCCCTCGGGGTCTCGCGGGACACTATTGCGTGACATCCACGCACGGCGGCGTCAAGCGCCTCACTACGGAAACAGGGAAGGACACGCGCTCCGAGGACGCGGCGAGGCGCCCAGAGCAGGAGCAGATGCCACGGCGACGACCGACGCCCCGCCACCGCGAGGGAACAATAAGCCGGCAACGCGCCGGGAAGGGGCGCCCCGGTCAACGCCACTCTCGCGAGATCTTAGTCAAATTTCGCGATAGTCTCTACCGGGCGGCCCGTCTCCACGCCCACCCTCAGCCCCGCTAGCTCTGAAACATCGCGAGATTTCCGCCGCCTAGTCCCCGCCCCTTTACGGCACGATGGTCGCACAAGAATGTGATAGAGCGTCTACGGCCGCCATTTTCTTCCTTTCTTAGCGGTTAGCCGAGCGGGGATCCTCCGCGAGGAAGCGGCAGCGGCGGCTGTAGCGTGGGCATGGCCGACTACTCAACGGTGCCTCCGCCCTCGTCTGGCTCAGCCGGCGGCGGCGGAGGAGGCGTTAACGATGCTTTCAAAGATGCCCTGCAGAGAGCCCGGCAGGTAAGCGTGCAGCGCGGCGGCTTCCCCGAGAGCCTCCGGCGGGCTAGGCCCCTTCCCCGCTGGCTTCCCGGGCTAAGCCGGAGACAGCCATCTGTCCCGGGGTCCCAGGCACTCGACGCCGAGCTCGGCTCAGGTCCGGGCTGAGCCTCCCTTCCCACGCGCGCTCCCCAAACGTGGCCCCGGGGCTTCCACTTCCGCAGCGTGGCCCGGCTCCCTCAGGTCGGCTTCCGTTCGGTAAAGTGCTTGTTGCTGTCCACAGCGGCGGGGAAGGAAGGTTCTGGGAGGCCGGGTCACGGTTAGGGCAGGACGGGCTTGCCCGCCTAGCGGTGCTCACCGCTCCGCCGAGCCCTCCCTCCCCGGAAGGTAACGTTCGCCTGGCCCGGGGAGGCTCCCCGAGCGCCCTTCCCCGGGGCGCTCAGCCCTCCGGCTCTTCCCTCCAGCTAAAAATGGCCTCAGGCCGGTTCTCCCCGAGCTTTGGGTTTGAATCTGTCTCTCCCGAGGCGAAACCTCCATCCTCTTTGTGTTCCATTGGGACGTATTGCTGCCCCGAAGGCACCACTTAGCGGGTTGAGAGACAAAGTGCTTGTACTTGAAAATCTTATTTTTTCCAACTCTGGACTTTCGTGTCTTCAGGTAGCCCTCTGATTTCTTTGTGGTTTAAAAATGTAGCGTTGTCTTGGTGGGCACGTCGTCTTTAGTCCCTGCACTCCAGAGGCAGAGGCAGGGAGATCTCTTGAGTTTGAGGCCAGCCAGGACAACAAAGAGACCTTGTCTCAAAAAGACGTTACGGAATTTGGGTGTAAGCTAATAAAACATCTTTTTATGGCACTCTATCGTAGTTGTTAGACATTTTATAATAGTGTTGAACAAATACTGCAAAAGTCGGTTTTGACTATATTAGTTTACTTCCTAATTTACCCCCCTCAGGACCGAAAGATTACTGAGTCAAAGTTTATCAGCTCTACCATGATGTGGCAAATCACGTGTTAGAAGATTTACTAGTCTATTATTCATCTAGCGTATTTAACTATCTAGTACACGGATACTGAAGAAAAATCGTTTTATTTATTTGTGGAGAGGGCTCAGTGACTGTCGTGGTTTGTGTAGAATTGAGAGGATAACTTGGGAGTTGATTCTCCCACCTAAGTCGCATGAGAGTGGACAGCCTTAGATATGAGTCTCTTTATCTGGGCCTCTTGAGGAAATTTTTTTGATACCAGGGTTTGTAAAAGGAGAGGCTGGTCTGAGATTTAGGGTGTCCTACCTAATCCTTGGTGCTTGCAGGTGTGCTCCACCCCTCAGCTTTGAAATGTTTAATGTGTAATTCGTTTTCTAAGGAAGGTGTGAGATAATCCAGGAATCAAATATCATTGAACAGAATAGCTAATGCTTTGATTAATAAGACAGTAAGCACGACAGTTATGTAAATGTTTGCACTGTGAGGCAGGCACTGTGCAAGATAGTGGATGGTGACATTCATGCAGTGCACTGGTGGTGGTGATGGTGGGGTAGCCTTTGGCCAGCACAGAGAAGAAGCAGCTGCCTGTACAAAGGGAGGGTTTCTGGACTGACAGTCCAAGAGTAAGCTGGAGCATTAGAATTGAATATGAGGAGGAAAAGGTGGGAAAATGAGGAACACTAGCTAGATTCAAAGTGAATAAGCTTTGTTTGCCAGCAAGCCTCGATTGTGATTACAGTGTCGCTCTCACCTGAACTTTCTAAGTATGTAGTGATCCCTTAGGACCTTGCTCTGTATAAGGTACATGGTGTGTTCAATTAATTCAGCAGATATCCTTAGTGTGTTGTCCCACTACGCAGCTCTGGCTGTCCTGGCACTCACTGTGCACATCAGACCCACCTCTACCTTTGGGATTAAAGGTGTATGTCATCCACGCCCAATTTTAAGTTGTGTGATCTGAAAGTTAACTCCTAGAGATGAAGAGGTATCCTTGCTATCTTGTTATCCTCCAGGACTTGAGTCTGCCTCAGCTTTCTGAGTGCTGGAATTGCAGGCCCACACTTTTCTTAAGTATAGTGCACCTGTGTCTTTGAGGATAGATAAAGCATTGCTAATTTTCCAAAACACTTTTTTTTCTCTGTGTAGCCCTGGCTGCCCTAGGAACTCACTCCACAGACCAGGCTGACCTTGAACTCAACAGAGATCTGCCTGCCTCTGACCCCCAAATGCTAGGATTAAAGACATCTACCCTGCCTAGACCAAAACAATTTTGAAGTGTTGCTGTGGACTCTGCTTTAGAATTGAATTACATATTGTGATGAATTGGTGAAGGTATGCTGTATGTTAGGATCTGCGTTGAACATGTAATCTCCACAGCCGTCCTGTAAGGGAGGTGTGTAGAAGTTTCCCATTTGTGAAGATGTGGCAATCGAAGCTCAGAATGTCTGAGAACATTTGACAAAGACTCTAAACAGCACACTAGAAGTAGATTAGCACCTCCACCCTTGAACTGTTAAGGAAAGTGTGGATCGGCATTTAGAAAATAGACTGTTTTCAGGTCATTATCTTTTGGGAATCATCATTTTGAACTCCAAAATGTGTAACGGCAGTGAGAATGGTGCTAAGTGCTGACTTGTTTGAAGAAAAAGTAGGGCAAAAATCCAAGTGGGAAGCTTGGATTGTACGTGTGAATTAAAATCAGACATTACCCATACACAATATATGCTTAATAAAATCGATAGAGCTCATAATTCCAACATGTGAGAAGGGGGAAAGAAAGGCCAGCCTGGGCGACAGAGTGAGACTATATTGCTGCATTGGGAATTGATTGATCTTCAGGGATTTTTTTTTTTTAATGTTTGTGGTTACCAAAAAAATGATTTTCTAAGATTAATTTTGGAGAGTTATCTGCTTTGTGGTGTTCTAGTCTTTGTCGGTGTTCAATTTTTTAAGGTTTTGCTTTATCTTGAATGAATGAATCAAGCACCAACTTTGATTTTCTTTTGGACAGTTGTAGAACTATCAATAGATATCCCATAGTAAGGAAATTGAGGTCTCTGTGTAGCTATGGCTGGATGGAATATAAAAAAGTATACTTTCTTGTGCATGTTTCTTGGAGTTCGAGTAACCTCAGAAGTGTTTATAAAAGCTAACTGTAAAGAGTGGTCACAGTCTAAACCACTTTCCTCTAGTTCAGTATGCCATCTGCTCTGGCACTTACCTACTGCCTTTATCAGCCCCACACTTAGATCCCCAACGCGCAGTTTGTAAATGCTGCATTTTGAGATCAGAGGGTGGAAAAGATGTGTTCCCAGATGTGATTAGGAAAACCTTCAGGAAAGAAGGTTAGGTACCCATAGGTACCCACAGATGAAATAAGCTTTTAATGGGGAAATGACAGGTGGTTAGTAAAGTTGATCACCACTGAAGGCTTAGGCTGTAGACCTTTTCATAGACTGTGTGTGCTGGTATGGGTGTAGATGAAGAGGAAATCTAATAACCCTGGGAGATAGAGTTGATTGACATAGGGATATGACTTAACAGATCCATATTTGGTGTAAGGCCTTGAATATACTCTTAGCCTCCCCCAGTCTTCTGCTTATAATAAACAAATAATTAGGTTAGTTCCACATCAGTGTCTTAGAAATGTCAGTCATATATTTGTTTATTTTTCCTTTTATTTTCGAGACAGGGTTTCTCTGTGCAGCAGTGGCTGGCCTGGATTCTGCTTTATAGTAGTCCATGCTGGCCTTGAACTCAGCCTGCCTCTGCCTGAAGTGATTAAAGGCGTGCATCCCCAACGCCCAACTGGCTTTTTAAATAGAGCTTAATCCCATACCGTTCCTTGTTAGCTCCCTAAACTACTAATGATAGTTTTAATTAATCCTAACAAGTCAATAGTGTATTGTTGTAGAAAATTTAGTATAGGAAATTTAGAGTAGTAAATGTATGTTAGTATTGTAACCTTTCTGATTTTTTTTTTTAAGATTGCAGCAAAAATTGGGGGTGATGCTGGTACATCATTGAATTCAAATGACTATGGTTATGGGGGACAAAAGAGACCCCTAGAAGATGGCGGTAAGTTATAGCCAGGAATCATTATAGTTATCTCGCACAGTATGCAAATGATGAGGGGTTTTCACTCTTATTTATTGAAATAAATTGTTGACATAGTACTATGTATCGATCTCAGAAAGGGGGGAAAAGACAGATCTAGAAAAAAGGTAGGTATAATGTGAGCCTAGGAGAAAGTATTATTGGGATAGTAAACAGTTCGTTTTTTTTTCCTGTTTTAGGAGTATACTTAGTTTGCACAGGTTTCTCGTTAATACTGAAAAATAAAAACAAAAATATAAATTGCTTAGGAAACACTTTCCTGGTTTTCCCAATTATTTGGTATGCTGCTTATTCATTTACTTCGAAATTCACTTCAAAGGCTTGTATAGTGGATTTATAGTGCTTATTTTTAAAAAACATTGACACTTCTGCAATTAGAAGTGTGTGCTTTTTTTGTCTTAGTTCTGTGTGTGTGAATTTTGATATTCTAATTGAGCATATAGAAATGTAATTGTAGCCCTGAGTGGGAATACTTGGTTTCCTTTTAAGTATTTGCAAGTGAGGTTTTTAAAATGCAAGAAAAATGAGCTAATGATGCTTCAGATGTTGTGTGTAATATATTCTTTTTATTTTATGTGTAGATGGCTCTTGGACAAATCCGAGCAGTACAACACACTGGGAGGGAATGCCCTCTCCTTTTAAAGGCAGGAATTTTTATTTATTACCTGTGTTCAGTATGTAAACGCGAAATAAACAAGCCAGTGGATTCTTAAGTGGACACAGCTGTCTCTTGGTTTATGTGTCTGAATTTTTGCTACACAAAAGCCTTGAAGTGGGGAAAATGACAATAGTAGTGCTTTGAACTATGGACTGTCTATTCTAATGTATGTGTTTTGTTTATTTGAGAAAGGCAGTCACATAGTTGCTTTGAGGTTTTTTTTTTTTTTTTTTGCTAAACTCATGTAGTGAAGTGTTTCATTTGGGAATAAAACAGTTTAGATTGAAACTGTCTTGTAATATGAGCTTTCCTTTTTATTAAAGCTTTGTGGTCACTGTCAACTATCCTTGTCTTTTGATATGTCAATTTTTTTTTATTTATTTTTTTTTTTTCTTTTTCGAGACAGGGTTTCTCTGTGGTTTTGGAGCCTGTCCTGGAACTAGCTCTTGTAGACCAGGCTGGTCTCGAACTCACAGAAATCCGCCTGCCTCTGCCTCCCGAGTGCTGGGATTAAAGGCGTGCGCCACCACCGCCCGGCGATATGTCAATTTTTTATATAGCTGATATATCAGATTTTTATATAGCTATCTATACCTAGTTGTTAGTTCTTACCATAGAAGAAGCATCATTAGCTTTTAGCATATGGTATTCACCAGCATTTAAATTCTTTGTTTTGTATCATTCTAAACTGTCAGGAGCCATTTCCCCCCAAAATTGGCAAAGCCTATCCCACACCCAATTATCTGTTAATAGAGTGCTATCTGTTAGCGGAACCCACCCCACACTCCAATTATCTAGAGAACTAGGAGTGTCAACTTGTGACTTCCTGACTGAGGAATCGTCATCCAGGGGCTATATAAGCTGTAACCATGACTCAAATAAACGGAGGCTCTGACAAACCTAGCATGGTTTTCTTCCTCTCTCCTGCCCATGTCTTTCAGATAGCGCCTCTCTGGGACCCTGGAATTACTGATCTGCCAGGCGGGTTACAACCCTAGACTGAGTGACCCGCCAAGGCAGTCTACACTAAACTATTTAAAGTGTCTGTGCATTGCTTAAACAGGAAGAGAATGAAAGAATTTAGGTTTTGTGGGTGTGGTTGTTTTATTTGGGTTTTTTGTTTTGTTTTGTTGTTTTTAGAGTTTTGAGTCTAGGTTGAATTGTGGCAATTTTGGTGGTTCAAGTGGTAAACCTTTATATCAGGTATTTTGATAAACATTGGCATTCTTGCTTGGGGGGCAGCTTTGTTTTTAATTGACAAAAAAAAACATTTAATTTTGCAGATCAACCAGATGCAAAGAAAGTTGCTCCCCAAAATGACTGTAAGTATTTCAAGCTGAGTTTTTGTTATGACTTTTTAAATTGCTTATATATTTATATATAAAATTATATATGTATGTGTGCATCTGTGTGAATTTGTGTGCACTCGGGAGACCAGAAGATAGCATGGGAATTCCCTCAGAGTGGAGCTACATGTAGTTGCAATCCTTTGTGTGGGTGCTGGGAACTGTTATACTTTTGGATAGGTTGAGGATTTTGGTTTGGAGAATTTTGTTTTTGAGCCAGGCTCACTCTATGACCCTGATTGGCCTTGGCCTCACAGAGATTCATCTACTCTGTCTTCCCAGTGCTGGGATTAAAGGTATGCCTTTCCATGCCAAAGAGGATAGGTAGGTATTAAGAACGTCTAGTCAGAATTCTTTTTACAGATGTATGCTTTTTTTCTTAGATAATAATTCTGTTTTAATTGTGACCATGTATGTGTAACAACTCTAGTTTTTAGGCATGTGCCACTTGAAAAAAAAAAGTGTGCCATTGCTAGTATATTTGCCCTTTCTTGGCTTTCTTGCAGCCATCAGTGATGATTTGAATAGTCTGAATCTCTTATTTTCTTCAGTATATGCATCAAGGAAAGAATATAGAATACTTGGTGTGCTTGTGTTGAGTAAACTTAAACTCTGAAGTTTTGTTTGTTTGTTTTTTCCTTAAGCTTTTGGAGCACAGTTACCTCCGATGCATCAGCAGCAAAGGTATAGTCAAAACCTTAAGTACTTTGCAAGTCTTAGTTGAATTGTGTATATAACCAACCAAGTTAGTTTATATTGAAAATGTCTATATACAATTTTGTATGGGTGGTTTATTTCTGTCCTATTGGGAAGATGATATAGAATCTTTTCCTTTTTATGTAAGAAATTGGTAATTTGAAAAATAGTTGAAATTGACACATTTTAGAAGAAAGAAAGTAAAGTAAATGGTAAAATGACATTCACTCTGACTCTTTTATATACTCAGTTAGCTGTCTTGCTCACTTACACATGCTGCCAATTTAAGAACAGGAGTCTGAGCTTTTAGGAGACCTTGGTTGGATTTATAAAACTACCTTTCATGTCCAAGCACACATCTCCCTTTGAAGAAAATACTAGTTTTTGTTATTTCTTAGCAGATCTGTAATGACAGAAGAATACAAAGTTCCAGATGGAATGGTTGGATTTAGTAAGTAACATTTTTTTAGTTTCCAAAATATAAATATGCTTTAAAAATTTAAGGTAAATAATAACTTCCCTTTTCCTCCTTAACTAGTAATTGGCAGAGGAGGAGAACAGATTTCACGCATACAGCAGGAATCTGGATGCAAAATACAGATAGCTCCTGGTAACGTTCTTCTTTTTGTGTATGCATTTTGTTCTTCTATCTCCGGCCCCTTTTTTCTAGCCCTTGAAGTTTTTTGAGAGTGGCTAGAAGATATGAGTATTTTTTAAGTTTCTGAAGATGATGATGCTACTTTTTATCTATTTTTAACCTAAGCTTTTCTTTCTATTTAATTATAGATAGTGGTGGCCTTCCAGAAAGGTCTTGTATGCTAACCGGAACACCTGAATCTGTCCAGTAAGTTTAAAAATGTTAAGTCTGCTTAGATAGCAATGTGAAGACTTTGTGTTTTCATTCTTTCCTTATCGGTGTCTTCTACTAGTGCCTTGAAAACTTCACTTTAAAGTTTATATATAGCATGCCTTTCTTGAATAATAGAGATCATCATCTAAGACAGAAAATTGTTAAAAAACAGGGGCCAGGGAGGTAACACATCCAGGTTCTTGCTTTCCAAGTAGGAAGAACTGAGTTTGTGCCTAACAGCGAAAACCAAAAAAACTTGGCATGGTAATATGAGCAGTCTTGTGTTGGAAACATGCAGACTTTGGGGGCTTTGTAGTCAGCCAGCCTACACTGTTTCATGGCTTTAAAGCCATTGAGAAGACCCTATTTCAAAAGGTGATACTACGCCAAGAATGGCACCGATGGTTGTAATTTGGCCTAAACACATATGAGTTGTATTCATAGACACAAAATTACTAAAACTTGATTTGACTTACATATAAATAAGTTGATGATGTCATCTAAAACTACCGAAATCTTCTTTAACACTCATTGTCGTTTGTTTTGTTGTTGTTTGGTGGTTGGTTTTGTTTTGTTTTTCTAGACAAGGTTTCACTGTGTAGCCCTGGCTGTCCCTTTGTAGGTCAGACTGACCTCAAACTTACCTCCCAAAGGTGTCCACCATCCCTACCCCACTCAGTGTCTTGTTACTTCCTGTTGCTGTGGCAAAACACCAAGGAGGGCAACTTAGAAAAGAGTATTTTATTGGGCTCATGAAATCAAGCGACCACGCCAACTTAAGCTCATTTACTGAAAACTTTAAAAGTTGTGAGAAGTTACTACCTCATCCTACACTGAAACACAGCCTTCCGTTGTGTTCATTTGCCTAAGACCATTTCTTCCTACTTCAAGACATCTTTCTTATGACTAAATTACTGTATTTATTTGGTTCATGGTCGCTTTATTACTGCCCCTTTTCACATTCCCTTTGGCTTTGCTTTTTCTTCCTGCCTCACCATGCATATGTGTATCCAAATTCAACTGCTGTATGACACCAATGATTAGAATCAAATTGATTGACTCTGTTATGTTTCATTTTTGGGTAAGGTTGGTTATGCTACACATTTTTATATTAATTTGTTTACAGATCAGCAAAAAGATTACTGGACCAGATTGTTGAAAAGGGAAGACCAGCACCTGGCTTTCATCATGGTGATGGACCTGGAAATGCAGTTCAGGAAATCATGATTCCAGCCAGCAAGGCAGGACTCGTTATTGGAAAGGGGGGAGAGACTATTAAACAGCTTCAGGTACTGTTATGATAACAATTATTATTATTATTCTGTCTTTTAAAAGCCAGTTACTATTATTTTTTGTTGTTGTTAACTTGCATTATTTTCATGATTATAATAGGAACGGGCTGGTGTTAAAATGGTTATGATTCAAGATGGGCCTCAAAATACTGGTGCTGATAAACCTCTTAGGATTACGGGTGACCCATACAAAGTTCAGGTAAGCCTTACTTTGTCATTTATATAAAAAGGCAGGAGAGGGGTGATAATAAGCATTAAACTGTTTTGAGAATTTTTCTAAATTAGATAACTCTATTTTAGCAAGCCAAGGAGATGGTCTTAGAATTAATTCGTGATCAAGGTGGTTTCAGAGAAGTGCGGAATGAGTATGGCTCAAGAATAGGAGGAAATGAAGGGATAGACGTAAGTAAACATGCTGGATCCGGAATTGGGTCCTATCCACAAAGTGCTTTCGTGTTCTGTTCGGAGCTGAATTCTTTTTATACGTCCCTTTTCTCCATTTCTTTCTTGTTACTGTTTGACATGATCATTTACTATATTTTTATGATTTGGTAAAGATGAATTTTTGAGAAATTATACATATATATATTTTGAAATACTTATTTATTATACAATATTCTGTCTGTGTGTACGCCTGCAGGCCAGAAGAGGGCACCAGACCCCTCTACAGATGGTTGTGAGCCACCATGTGGTTGCTGGGAATTGAACTCAGGACCTTTGGAAGAGTAGGCAATGCTCTTAACCTCTGAGCCATCTCTCCAGCCCCGAGAATTTTTTTTTTTTTTTTTTTTTTTTTTTTTTTTTTGAGACAGGGTTTCTCCGTAGCTTTTTGGTTCCTGTCCTGGAACTAGCTCTTGTAGACCAGGCTGGCCTCGAACTCACAGAGATCTGCCTGCCTCCCGAGTGCTGGGATTAAAGGCGTGCACCACCACCGCCCAGCAAAATTATATTTTTTAATATACTTCATCTTTTACTTCCTTAAGGTCCCAATTCCAAGATTTGCTGTTGGCATCGTAATAGGAAGAAATGGAGAAATGATCAAAAAAATACAAAATGATGCTGGTGTTCGAATTCAGTTTAAGCCAGGTAAGTAAGGTATATTTGGTGTTCTAAGAATTGATAGCTATTAATCCCGACACTCATAATTGTTTTGTCATAATTCCTTGTTTCTTTTTTTTTTTTTTTGTTTGTAGATGATGGAACAACACCTGATAGGATAGCACAGATAACAGGACCTCCAGACAGATGTCAGCATGCTGCAGAGATTATCACAGACCTTCTACGAAGTGTTCAGGTTTGATAGGAAATTAACATTTTCAGTTTGTTTTCATTGCAAGTTTTTATCATACCTGAAAAGTGCCCCTCCATATTATATTAGAATCTGTTGGTGTATTAAAATGACTAAACATTTACATTGTTTTAAGATAAAAATTTTAAGGGCAGAAGAACTGCTGCAGAAACACTGCAGAAAAAGTAGGGTGTCAAAAGCTGTGTCAGAGACAAATGTTCATGTAACCCCAAACCCCACAGGGTCTGATGGCAGACATGGAGAGGTCCAGGAAGGGCTTCTTAAACGCTTGTCACAGTTCTGTGAAGACAGGCAGAGCTACACAGAAATCCTTTCTCAAAAGAAAAAGGAAGTTATTGATTAAGTGAATATTTTTGTCAAGTAATATTTAAATCATCTCTTAATTTCATTGTTGAGAAATAGGAAAGTTTGGAAATAAAACTATTAATTTTGTTAAAGCATTTCTTTGTTCATTTTTTTTTCCTCCTTTCAGGCTGGTAATCCTGGTGGACCTGGACCTGGTGGGCGAGGACGAGGTAGAGGTCAAGGCAACTGGAATATGGGACCACCTGGTGGACTGCAGGAATTTAATTTCATTGTGCCAACTGGAAAAACTGGATTGATAATTGGAAAAGGCAATGTATTTTAAATTCTTTGTTAAACATAACTGATTTTTCTGGACACTTTATTGTACACAAAATGGTATTGATTTTTTTTTTTGTTTTTGGAAGTATTTTAGTAGGAAAGGGATTTTACATGGCAACTAAAACAACACTGTTAAAAATGGGATTTGTGTTTCATTGGCTTCTAGGGAAAGGGGTCAGTTATCCATTGATGAAATAAAACTTGATCCTAATGGAATTAGGGGTGACTGGTTTTGTTTTGTTTTTTGGGATTGTATTTAGGTTAATTTTTTTTTTTTTTTTTTTTTTTTTTTTTTTGGTTTTTCGAGACAGGGTTTCTCTGTGGTTTTGGAGCCTGTCCTGGAACTAGCTCTTGTAGACCAGGCTGGTCTCGAACTCACAGAGATCCGCCTGCCTCTGCCTCCCGAGTGCTGGGATTAAAGGCGTGCGCCACCAACGCCCGGCTAATTTTTTTTTGTTTCTTACAAAAGCTCTTTTGAAGTTTTACTGTTTTTACCCATGTTAGGATTTATGTTTGAATAGACTTTACTGTATTTGGTATGAGTTGTAGATAGAAGACCAGAATAAGTAGAAAATCCTAACAAATTATTGTCCAATGGAATACTATCAAACTTTTTTTAAATTACAGCATTTCTTATATTCTTTGAGCTAATTTTTTTTTTCTTTTTTTAGGAGGCGAAACCATAAAAAGCATAAGCCAGCAGTCTGGTGCAAGAATAGAGCTTCAGAGAAATCCTCCTCCTAACGCAGATCCTAATATGAAGTTATTTACAATTCGTGGCACTCCACAGCAAATAGACTACGCTCGGCAACTCATAGAAGAGAAGATTGGGGTGAGTACCCTTTAAACTTGTTTATAATGTAGTTCCTGGTACTTAATTCAACTGTACCATGGGAAAGTGTAATTTGTCATCTGAAATTACAGCTTTTGTGGTACAGCACACGATCATGTAACAATATAGGAAAGATGTCCAGAATTACAAGTATTCTTGTTAACCATGCCACTTCACAGTTGAGTGTCCATAGATCAGAGATAATATTAGATCTGGCAGCAGTTGGGTAGCCTAACTAGTTAAAGGAGTTCAGTGTTTATCAAGGCCCACACTACCCATCCCTGCTGCATCAAAGTAGTGAGTTAAGGTATTTATCTCCCATTCTGCCGAAGTAATTTATAATTTCTGACTGTTGGACTGGCTACCAATCATCAGAGGTTTGAAACATAGACTTGTTTGATTCTTCTGGAGCTCCTTGGCCACCTAGCCCAGCAAAATCCATGTTTGTAGGAGGAGGGGGCTACTTGTTGGTCCAGGCCGCCCTAGCTAGCTTAGCCCTAAAATAAGCACACAGAAGCTGTAGTAATTAAATCACTGCTTGGCCCATTAGCTATAACTTCTTATTGACTAACTCTTAATTTAATCCATCTCCATTAATCTTTGTATCGCCACATGGTTGTGGCTTACCAACAAGATTCTAACTGGTGTCTCACAGGCAGAGGATCCATGGCTTTTCTCTGACTCTTTCCTTCTCCCAGCATTCAGTTCTGTCTTCCCTGCCCTATCAACAGGCCAAGGCAGTTTCTTTATTCATTAATGGGAATGACAGCACATAGAGGGGATTCCCACATCACATGTTTGCTTAGAGAGACCACTCAGTGAAAGATGCTGGAGGAGTCGGTGTTGACCCTGGCTTCCACAAGCACCAGTGCATCTGCACCCACCACTAACAAGGCACATGGAGACAGCATACTACACAGAAATAAAATGAAAGTAGAGTAGAACAGTGTCTATTTTAACAGATATTCTACCTGGCGTTGGTGGCACACACCTTGAATCCCAGCACTTAGGGGGGCTGTTGCAGGTAGATTTCTGAGTTCACGGCCAACCTGGTCTACAGTGAGTTTCAGGACAGGGCTAGATAGAAAGTTTTCTGGTAGTGCAACAGAGACTTGACCACTATGGCTTTATAATGAGTCAGATAGGGGTTCACTTCTTTGGGTTTTTTTTTTTAAAAAAAAAAAACAACAACAACAACAAAGGAAGTTTGAAAAATGTCTTAAGTTTGAATATACACCTTGTAATTGTTCATAAACTGAAGATATTTGCAAGTCAAGCAATGCCAAAAACTGACACCAAAGAGTAAAAAGATGGGTAACCACATTTTCATTTTTCTGGGTTTGTTTTTTTTTTTTTTTTTTTTTTTTTTTTTGGTTTTTCGAGACAGGGTTTCTCTGTGGCTCTGGGTTTGTTTTTGAGACAGTGTAGACAAGGCTGGCCTTAAATGCAAAGGTCTGCCTGCCTTTTCCTCTCAGTGGTGGAGTAAGCATAAACCACTGTGTGCAGCTGATTTTTTTTTTTCCCCTAGCCTAATAGACCTAGATCAGGCTTTCTGTTGAGTCATATTGAGAAACAATATTAACAGTTTGGTTTAGTGCTTACTACAGCATAAGTGTCCTAGTAAACATTAGTAGTGAGGAAGTTGATAGCCAAATTCAGTTTAGGTATTTTGTCAGGCTGCTGAGCTGTCTTAATGTGCCACCAGAACTGATGACTGGGGTGCTACATGGAGCCCTCATGGTGGCAGCAGAGGACCAGCTACCAAAAGTTGTCCCCACATTCACAGTGTGGCATGTGCATGTTCATACTCAAAGGAAGTAATTTTGATGGGAGAAGCATTTTCTGGGACTGTAGAGATAGCACAGCAGTAACAATTCTAGAAGACCCAAACTGAGTTCCCAGAAAGCCTATAACTCAAGTTACAAGAGTAACATCTCTTGTTATTGTTGATGTTTTGAGACAGGGTTTCTCTGTGTAACAGCTGGCTTTGAACTCATTATGTAGACCAGGCTAGCTTGGAACTCACAGAACTGCCTCCCAAGTTGCTGGGATTAAAGGTATGTGTTGCCACTGTCCAGTGGATGTGGTGCTCTTTACGGTTGATTGTTATATATACAGTATTCTAGCTGCATACTAAAAAAGGGCACCAGATCTCATAGATAGTTGTGAATCACCACGTGGTTGCTGGGAATTGAACTCAGGACATCTGGAAGAATAGCCACTGCTCTTCTGAGCTTTCTCTCTAGCCCTTAAAATTTTTAAAGATTGTAAGCATTTTGTTCAAAAGTATTAATATTAGTTGTCAGTTGTAAAAAAGAAATGTTTTATGACATCTAAATCTAATGATTCTTGTAGGTTTTGCAGGGTGGCCTATCAAAAAAAGAAATGAAGGAAGCCAAGTATAATAGCACATGTCTTTAATCCTCCCAACACTTGGAAGGTAGAGGCAGACGAATCTCATGAGTCAGCCTGGTCTACATAGTGAGATCTTACTTCCAGATAAGGGAGGAATGGTAAAAAGTGTTCTGTTGAGGTTATATAGAATAACCGTGATGTGTTGTGTTGTATCAACTGTGGAGGAACTTTATATGCTATTTAGAAAGTTATGACGGGCACAACATGAGGACGGTAGATGAAATTATTGGTTTAAATGGGATTCCTGTGACAGAAAGTTGTTTGGGATACTAGATTGAGAATTAAAAAGTGTTCCCTAGACAATATGCAGTTTGGGAAATATATTGTCAGAATGGTTGTCTGATATTAGGAAAGTAAAAGAACTAGGTGGTCTGATTTTTTTTTAAAAAATGAGAAATAGCATTGTTTGAAAAGGAGTAAAAAGCTAAATGGAATTGCTAGTGCTCATTTTAATGAATTTCACATTTTATAATCTGAGATTTTTTTGCAGCTTCAGGAGAGGAAGGTAAATTTAAACTTGTTACTTGAGTAGAAATGAAAGAGTAGTTGGCCTTGGGGTTGCTTGAGTGTATTATATATGTTTTGTGTGCCTTTTTTGTTATTGTTTGTTTTTTTTCTTTTTGCAGGGCCCAGTAAATCCTTTAGGGCCACCTGTACCCCATGGACCCCATGGGGTTCCAGGTCCTCATGGGCCTCCTGGGCCTCCAGGGCCTGGAACTCCAATGGGACCATACAACCCTGCACCTTACAATCCAGGACCACCTGGTCCAGCTCCTCAGTAAGTACTAGATTTGGTTGGTTCTGGGTTTTCCCTAAAGATCCTAGGCTGAGATGGCTCAGCAGTTAAAAGCACGTAATACTCTTACAGAGGGACCTGGATTCAGTTCCCAGCAGCACACGGTGGTTTACAACCATCCATAACTCCGGTTCCAGGGTATCTGACACCAGTTGTATGTGGTTGGTTGCACATCACATAGACAGGCAGAACCTACACATAAAACAAATTTTTATTTCTTTTAATAGAGATTCTGACTTTTGGTGAATGGTATTTGTGTTTGTCTTTTCAGTGGTCCTCCAGCCCCATATGCTCCCCAGGGATGGGGAAATGCATATCCACATTGGCAGCAACAGGCTCCTCCTGACCCAGGTAGAGGATAAGATTATCTATGATTCTACTTTGTGTATAACATTTTTGCTGTTTTTCAGCAGTGTTGGGCAGTCTCCCTGCAGTGTAAGACTGGTAGAATTTTTTTGTCTCTGCATTTTTGAGCCAAGGTCTCAGCCTATAAAGCTCAATGTGGTCCTCAGCATCTCTTACAGTGTAATATAGCTCAGTTTGGTTTAAAATTAACTTAATTACCTGAAATCAATTGCTATAAAAAGTACAGTGTCTTAAGCTTTAGATAACATTGCTGTTTATGTTGTGACTTTGTAGTAGTTCCTATTTATAAAGTGTATCTAACAGTGCAAAGTTCTCAGAGAGGATGAATATAAATTATTTTATTGCTGATAAGATACCTTAAAATATTAGTAAAAATTAAGTCCCCATTGCATACCAAAACTCTAAAATACATTCATTTTTTCTTCTAATCTGAATTTTCTTTATCATCCTGTTCTCATTTACATTCTCACAAAATGGTTTTGTTTCCCCTCCATCACAAGCAAAACCGTCCACTTATAATTTGGTCGTCCGTCCCCCTCTCCCCCGGCCCCCAACACACACACACACACACACACACACACACACACACACACACTCCAGCCTCTGTAGTTTAGAATTCAGTGGAGAAATTTCAAATAATATATTCTTAGTTGTAGATTACTTTCTACATAGTATTTTTTTAAAAAAAACAAAACCAAAGCAATTGTGTTAACTATAATTGCTTTGCTGGATTTGTTAAACATTTTAAATTTTAATATTTTAATGTGACCTGATAATATTAAATTACCATAGGAACTTTCTCAGTCACTAAATAACTACACAATTTCTGTTCATTTAAGAAACAACTTGAGAGCCGGGCGGTGGTGGCGCACGCCTTTAATCCCAGCACTCGGGAGGCAGAGGCAGGCGGATCTCTGTGAGTTCGAGACCAGCCTGGTCTACAAGAGCTAGTTCCAGGACAGGCTCCAAAACCACAGAGAAACCCTGTCTCGAAAAACCAAAAAAAAAAAAAAAAAAAAAAAGAAACAACTTGAGAGCTGGAGTGATGGCTCAGCAGTTACTCTGTCTGCTCTTCCTTCCAGAGGTCATGGAGTTCAGTTCCCAGAAACCACATGGTGGTTCAAAACCATCTGTAATGGGATCTGGCGCCCTCTTCTGGCCTGGAGGCACACATACAAATAATTCTCTAAACATAGTAAAAAAAAAATTTTTTTTCAAATGAAAGAAACTGCTTGAGCCAGGTGATGATGGCACATGTCTTTAGTCCCAGGAGGCAGAGGCAGGCAGATCTCATGAGTTTGAAGACAGCCAGGGCTACACAAGAAAACTGTTTCAAAAAAAAAAAAAAAGAGCCGGGCGGTGGTGGCGCACGCCTTTAATCCCAGCACTCGGGAGGCAGAGGCAGGCGGATCTCTGTGAGTTCGAGGCCAGCCTGGTCTACAAGAGCTAGTTCCAAGACCGGCACCAAAGCTACAGAGAAACCCTGTCTCGAAAAACCAAAAAAAAAAAAAAAAAAAGAAACACAACTTGGATTATGGCATCTGAGTGTGAAAGATGTGCTAATAAGCCTATTAAGGTACATTCCCAGTGTAAACAGTAATAGACTTAGGGTGTGGAAGAAGCATCAAGTACGACTGCCTTAAAAATTAGGAGTTTCCTTCATTCTAACAAGCGTTTAGGAGTGGCATGATTAAATGAAAGACTTTGTACAAGTAACTTACATTGCGTAGGACTGCACTAGGAGTGGTGTTTGGGATAACTACTGTGGTTAAGAAATTCTATAACGGCTCAGTGGTTAAAAGCACTAGCCACTTTTCAAGAGAACCTGGGTTTGATTCTCAGCACTCACACGGTGCCTCATAGCCACCTGTTTAGGCTTAATATCAGATAGGTTAGTTATATTTCTATAACTGGTTGATTTGAGTTTTTACCTAAGACTGTCTTCTTCATCTTAAGTGGATAATTGGACTGATACTGTGTTAAAGAATAGTGATTCTCAGTACATTCTAGTTACAAGGAAAACACTTGTTTAGGTAAAGAAAGCTTGGTGCGGGGGATGCTAATAATCATAATCAGAGGCCATGGTGACTGGTGACAAGTCCAGCGTTTTTTTCGACTTTGAGTGTTGGGAAGTCCCAAAAGAGAGAAATGGGGCTGATGGAAAGGACAAGCATGATGACCCAAGGTCCATCCTTACCACCTGAAGTGACTGCAGTGCTGAGGAGGAGCCCTGACCTTTCCTCAGCCATAACTCCTTTTCCAAGAGACTCCTCACTAACCCGCACATTTGTGTAGATGCACACATAATACATAATTAGAAGTAAAATAAATTTAGTTTGAGAACGTCCGAAGTCAGTCATTGCCCTCTATGCACATGTGCATACAGAGCAGACATGTTCCCGGAACACACCTACACAAAAGGATAAGCTAGGAGGTTGAGTCATGAAAGACATTGACATGTAATTCCAGCACTGGAGAAGTAGAGGCATTGGGCACCTGCCTGAGTCACATGGGACATTTTTTCAGAAATGTTTTTGTGGGTAATATTAAGTGATATACTATGCTTGGGATATCCTAATGGTTGTAGAAAAATTACAGAATAATTTCAAGGTTTTGACAATGGTGAAATACAGACTGTTTCTTTTTTTGTACAAATTAGCTCGTAGATGTCTTCTCTACAGAACTGTTGCTGAACTTATTTTGGGCGCCGGGGGTGGGGGAGCAAAGATACAGGATTACGCCGAGGCAAACCATTTGAAGCCAAAAGGTCAATCCTTCATATCCTGGTTCCATCATTCACTAGTTTTGTAACCTAGGAAATTACTTTACCTGAGGCCCAAGTTTCTGAACTTTCGTTAAGTGTTAACAATAATACTAAAAAAAAAAAAAAAAAAATTGAAAGTTTTATTTGCTGTTGTCAATTTTTCAGTTTGTCAGGAATCCCCAGAAAGATAAACATTAATTGTGGAGTTTACATATAAACCTTGAAATTTTTCTGTTTAAATTCTAGCTAAGGCAGGAACGGATCCAAATTCAGCAGCTTGGGCTGCTTATTATGCCCACTATTACCAACAGCAGGCACAGCCCCCGCCTGCAGCTCCTGCAGGTGCACCAACTACAACCCAAACGAACGGTCAAGGTAACTACGGTAATTAACAATTTTTATTTTCTATTTTAAAGCCAAAGCTTGTGTTTCGATTTTATATATGTTTACTAGTGTGTCATACCAAAACTTCCTTTATTTTACTTTCAATCCTGGGAATTGAACCCTGGACCTTGTGCATACTGTGCTAATACCATCACTAGGTTAGATCCCTGGGCCTAAGGTTTTGAAGAGTCATTGTGACTGTGGGTAAGCATACTAAATCACTTTGGAGTAGTAATAAACTTTAGTCTTTGTTCTGTTCCCCTTTTACTCCATTACCCGGATATAGATGTCTGTTAATTATGAAAAGCACTACTGAAAGCTGTACCTGGAGACATGAAGTCATATTATCCTTGTACATACTTGTGTACTCATTCCAAAATGAGAGTCCGTACTCAGCATTGATACGCCACTGCTATGCACAGCCCTTGCTTAGGTTCGCCAGTTGTCCCAGTGTTTCTATCGAGATAATCTAGTATCATACAACATATTTCTTAGGTCTGTTGTGTCTAATCAGGCTGAAGCAGTTTCTTGGTCTTTCCTTTTATGTCTCTAAGAAGAGTATAACTCAATTGTTAGGTAGCTGTCAGCTTAAGTCCCTTGGAGTACTAACCCTGATCTGCCATGTTTTTGTATTATGGTACCACCATTTACTATAAGAAGTTACTTAGTATTTTTTGGTACATTTTACTGGAATTATATCACTAGTCGGTTCATCACACTTCTCCCTCAGCCTTAGTCTCTATTAGTAGCCTGCCTTAGTAAACTACTGTTACTATAACTGTTAACTGTTGGTTGCTATCATTGTGTACTGCTATTTTATTGCAAGGAATAGCTTTCCTTTTATTTTAACTGCTCTCATTATATTGTCCTAGATTTGGGTGGTTGGGATTATCTTCAAGGTGGCTCTGGTGTCCTTCTGACATTCTTCAGGTGCTTCCTTAGTACCTAACACAGTAAGATACTTTGTCTTCTGAGCTCCAATCAATGATTCATTCTTTTTTTTTTCAAGGGTAGAATTTTGAAACCAGACCGAGTATACTCATTGATATTTAAATGTCACTGATCATAACCCTTTCTAAAATAGAACTAGAAAGTATGTTTTGGGGCTGGCGCTTAATAGTACTTGTTCCTGCAGAAGACCCAGGTTCGATTCCCAGCACCCATGTGGTGACTCACACTGTAACTAATTTCAAGGGATCCAGTGCCCTCTTCAGACCTTTGAGAGAACCAGACACCTTCAGTGCGCAAATAAGCATGTGTGGGCAAAACAATCATACATACAGAAATAAAACGATCTAGAAAAGTTTTTTAAGTATGTTTGTATATATGCAAGCTAATACATACCTAATAAAAATAGCATGATTATCTGCTTGTTTTTTAAAACATTGACATTCTATTCTAATGCTTCAAAACTGTTAATCAGCTTTTTAACTTTTGTACTTAAAAATGGCCAGAAACCTCATGTCCTATGTTTCTTTCATGTGCATTTTCTTAGTAGCCCTTGTTAGCAGTTTCTCTGCATCCTTTCATGCCTACTGTCGCGTGTCCCCCACTAGTGTACTTACAGCTCCAGGATAGATAGTGTGAACTCCACGTTCATGGTGCAGAATCGCCTTCGAAACTTAAATCTTGTTTGTTGTTTTGTTTTATTTGTTGTTTTGTTTTTTAACAAGGAGATCAGCAGAATCCAGCTCCAGCTGGACAGGTTGATTATACAAAGGCTTGGGAAGAGTACTACAAGAAAATGGGTATGCTGTATATTTAATTTCATTAATTAAATCAAAGAACTTAGTAAATATGTATTAAAATGCTGGATTTTGCTTAGAAATTTGTTTTTAATATTTTAGGTAAATGATCCATATTTTTATAATGTTGAAATTAAGAATATCAAGGGTGTCATTCTAAAATCATTGAACTTGCAGTATATTAAGAACATTCTGAGAAATTCTTAAATTTGTGCTTATGTAGCAAGAAAATGTATTTGTCAGCAAGCTAGTAATTAAAAGAAATTTCCTTACTAGAAAGTAATACATAGCTTTAATTATTGCTATACTTTTTTTTGTGTGATGTTCTAACTAGAATAAGGTTAAATTTTAGAGCCCCAAGCAAAGCGATTGTGTCGTCTTTAATATTGCTGTCAAATAAGCAGGAAATTAAGACACAATGACAGATTGCTTTAATCTTAAACATTTACATGCATTGAAAAGGAAAAATTATGGCTTTTAAAAAAAAAAGCTTTGTGTTTGACAACTATTGAATGTATGCCTCACATAGCCATGATGGCTATGTAAAAGTACTACCAGCCGGAGATACAGCTTTCTACAAAGCTGCTTCCAGATTAAAGAGGTTTCCTACTTGCACAGCTGTTTAGAGAAGTGATGTGCGTCATACTCCTGAGCCTTCACAGATGTGCTAGCTTACTTTTTTAACCTCACTATTCTCAGGTTATGACCGTTAAGCATTTGTACTAGAAACTTTCTAACCATGAAACAGTGTTCTGTGTGATTAGCATGACTACATAATTTGTTATCTCAACTGGGGCACTTTAGAGAAAGAATTGAAATGTATTAATCATTCTGTGATAGCCAGTGGTCAAGGCATATAGCCACCCTAACTGCTGAAATAACGGTACTTTTTTTAAAATAAGGAATTGAGTATGAAGAGCCAAAAAGCATTAACTCCATGTGTAATTTCACCATGTGTGTTGATTTGTTGGAGACCAAGGCCTGCTAACTGATATAGGTGATTGTGGTAGAATGAGTTTTTTGTTTACATGACATCAAATCAGTTTTGTTTAGTTAATTGTAGCTTTTGTTGAATATAGACATTTTAACTCACTTTGATTTTAGTTTTCTGCTTTCTAGCACTTTCCAGCACACCATTCTGTGAATATCTGGGTTCAAATCCCCATTGCATCTAAAAATGCCAAACATGGCCAGTGCATGTCCTGGTAAACCCCAGTTGGAGAGCTGTTTTCCAGGAACTTGCTGACCAGTGTATTTGAAATGGAAGAGAGAAGAAAATAGAGGAGAAAAAAAGTCTTGAAGGCTCTTGGTCTAGTTTAGGTAGTACCGTGTTTGGCTAGCATAGATGGGCTCTGGGTTCATCGTGTGTGTAGGTGTGTGGATTATCTCCAAAGGCATTTTTCTTACTTTCCCAAATAGGCTGACCAGGTTTTATAATTATAGTCATTGTGAACTGCTTCGAAAACACCAAAGATATTTTCTCCCTCCCTCCCTCCCTGTCTCTTTCTCTCTCTCTTGGGGTTTCAAGACAGGATTTCTCCGTATAACAACAGTTAAGGCTGTCTGGGAACTTGCCTTGTACCAGACTGGCCTCAAACTCAAAAAAATATGTCTGCCTCTGCCTCCTCAAGTGCTGGGATTTAAGGCGTGTGCCACCACTACCTGGCAGCTCTGAAGATTCTTATAGATGAAGGAAAAGATGTTTAGAGTCATTACTAAGAGCAAAATACAGAGTAGTAGAGGTTGCAGGTTTGGGTGTTGGGTTTTTTTTGTTTTTGTTTTTTGTTTTTTTGTTTTGTTTTGTTTTGTTTTGTTTTTGGTTTTGGTTTTTGGAGACAGGGACAGGGTTTCTCTGCAGCTTTTTAGTGGTTGTCCTGGAACTAGCTCTTGTAGACCAGGCTGGCCTCGAACTCGCAGAGATCCACCTACCTCTGCCTCCCAAGTGCTGGGATTAAAGGCATGTGCCACCACTGCCCGGCTGAGGTTGCAGGTTTAATAAAAACTTCTGTAATCAGTAAAGAATTAGGCATCAGATAAAGGTAAGGCAATTCCTGTTTAGAGGAGAGTAGGTGAAGTCATCTTGGAAGGCATATACTACAAATTTCTGGTATCTACATACACATACACGGCTTCCGTGCCCAAACACACATAAAACATACACAGCACAATTTTTTAACGTTGTTAAGTACTAATTTGGTGCTCTGAAAGCATCTTATACCTTAAAGCCCAGAAGACATAGCTGTGGAACAAATGCAGGTCTATCAAGAGATAATTGAACACTGTGAAGTGTTTAATAAAGACGACTCTTAACACTGTTGTAGAAGTGATGATGCTTTCTATTGAGCTCTGTGGAAATATTGGGTAATGACCTGCTAAGATGTAGACCAGACTCCAGTGTTAGAAAGGTAGAGACTGAAGGGTAAGGACGTGGGTGTGTGAGATCTAGAGCGAATTAAGTCATTAGTGCTCAGAGTTGTTTGCAGTTTCGGGGTTTTCATAGAGACTGTGAGTCTGAAGAGTGCTTTACATGTCCGTCCATAAGTATCTTATGTCATTGTGCATAGCCAGATTTGCTCACGTACAGTTTTATAAAGGATATTGTGTGATTTTTATACCCTGTTGGAGAGTTTTCTAAATATCGTTTTGAATTGCATCTATCTCCTTATAAGGTCCAAATGTTAAAACCAAAAAGTTATTCATGGAAGCAAAAAGTAGAACTAGGGAATTTTTGTAGTAATAGAAATGTTTTTACATTGCCCAAACAAGCCCCCACCCAGCACATGGTAAGGTTAAATCATAGATCTGTTTTTGTTCACGTGGCTGACCTTTATTCTGTGAACACGTTTTACGGTGTGTGACAGGATGCTTTCTGAAACTGTAAAATATAAAAGGTGTCCCTTTTGTCTTCTCAGAGCTCCATGTTCATACATACTACAAGTGTTCTTTTTTTACTTTTTTGCCTTGGAAATTTCAAAAGGGTGGGGAAGTTGTACATGAGTCATAGGTTTGGCCGGTGTGTTCAGTTAAATGTACTCAGTTTATATTTTATGCCTGAGCCATTACAAAGTAAGTTGCAGGCTAGTTTATTTTAAATATATTATACTCTATGTTCCTAACTGTTGTAATAGTGTCCCTACCAAGAAACTGTCTCTGCAGTTAACTTGTTTTTGTTTACAGAATCTGTCCAGTATTCCTATGATTTGATAACTGTATTTCTCATTTGATAACTCAAAATGGTCACTCTGCTCAGAAGCAACAAAACTACTCGTGGAAGCTGAGTTTCATTTGATTCATTGATCTTGTCCTTTTTATCAGTTGCCAGATTATTTTTAGCAAAACTGTACTCTGACATGAACACAGTAGGTCTTTTGTGTTATGGCATGTGTGTGTGTTTTATAAATATTTTTTTATAAAATATTGATTTTCAATATTTATAAATATCAGTAGTTCTCTATTGTAGTTTAAGACCAGTATAACAGATGACCAAAATGGATAAAAGAATAGTGAGCCAGGTGTGGTGGCGCGTGCCATTAATCCTCAGGAGGCAGAGGCAGGTACCTCTCTGAAGATGAAGACAGCCAGGTCTACATAGCAAGAACTCTAGGCCAGCCAAACTGGATCTTGAAATCCTGTCTCAATGTCAAACAAACAAGACCGAACAGAACCTCCATGGTGACTGCGGCACAAACCTTTAGTCCCAGCACTGGGAAGGCAGAGGTAGGCAAATCTCTGAGTTCGAGGACAGCAAGGACGTGAGGAACCCTGTCTCAAATCCAGTGGGGGCGGGGGACGACAACAACGACAAAAGTTTCTTCTTGCCTGTCAAAGATAATGTCTGAATCTTTGCCTTTGTTTAAGGCTGTGCGAGTTTTCGTTTTGTCATTGTTGATAGCGTGATGAACTAAAAGACTAAAATCTGTGGATAAGATGAAAAGAGCATATTTTTTTTGTTTCTTTATGCGTGCTGCACCTTTTTTTTCTCATTCTCCCTTCCTCTCTCTTTAAGGCATAATAAGATAAACAGTAACTGAAGGGTCAATGAGACACATATATAATCCCAGCACTTGGGAAGTTGGCAAGAGGATTACAAGTTCTGAGCCAGCCTGTGCTGCCTAAGTGAAACCTGACTCAAGATAACCAAGAACCTCTATGCCTGTCATTATAAAGCTGTGCGAACAGTGGGTGGAAATTTGTGTTAAAATCCAGGGGGCTTTCTTTAGGTCAACAAGGGCAGACACAAGATTATTCACAGGCTTGGGAGGAATATTACAAGAAGCAAGGTATTATTTTTACTAGCCAAGATATTCTATGAGATTTTTAATTATATATGGTTGGAGCAATAAAGTTCCTCTCTTTCCCTGAAGGTCAAGCAGTTCCTGCTCCTGCTGGGGCCCCACCAGGTGGGCAGCCAGATTATAGTGCAGCCTGGGCTGAATACTATAGACAACAAGCAGCATACTATGCCCAGACAAGTCCCCAAGGAATGCCGCAGCATCCTCCAGCACCTCAGGTATAATACACTTGCTTTTTTGTGTGTGTTTTGGTTTGGTTTTGGGTTTTTTTTTTCCTCCAACCATATTTTTTGCATGTTTGTGTGTTTGGGAATGTGTTTTACTTTTTGGTTGATAAAGTATAACTAGGAAATTGTGATGTGTTTGGGGATTTTGTTTTTAAATAATGCTTTCTGGCATCTGCGTGCTATTTTTATAATGCCTTTGATTTTAAAAATAATTTTCTTCCCCCAGGGATTTGCAAATCATGCAAGAAGCCACCATCATTTATATTAACCAGTTTTTCTTTCTTAAAGGATTCACTCCTGAATTAGCTCCATTTAAAGGATTTTCTTTAACTTTTTGTGTATCTCTTATGTATCTCTTCTGCACAGGGCCAATAATAAGAAGTGGACAATACAGTATTTGCTTCATTGTGTGGGGGAAAAAAACCTTTGTTAAATATATGGATGCAGACGACTTGATGAAGATCTTAATTTTGTTTTTGGTTTAAAGTAGTGTTTCCCCCCCTTTTTTTTATTTTGAAAATGTACAAAACATCTATCACTACTGATAGGAGGTTAATATTTCTGTGTAGAAATGAAAACTGGTTTGTTTTTAGTCTTTAGTGTAGATGTACACATTCCAGCAAATGTATTTGCAACTATTATGTGGTCAATGCTTTGTGATATAAATGTACTTTTTCAATGTATACTTTCACTTTTAAAATGCCTGTTTTGTGCTTTACAATAAATGATATGAAACCTCCTGTGTCGGTAAGTTGGATATGTGGGTAAAGGATTCATAATTTCTTAGCAGTGATAAATTAAGATACATATACACAACTATATAAGCTTTCCCCATGAATTACTGAGTTTTTAAACACTGGCATGATGTTTTTCCCCTTGCAGTATAGTGGTAGATTGGAGGATCTTTTCTGTTGTATTTGGCTATTTCAGCACAAGTAATCCTGATATCTTCATTTTTTCCTTCTATTTGATTTTAAAACTGCATGTATATACAATGATCTTTAGCATACTTCCATTGCATTAACAGTGAAATTTCCTTTTATATGTGAGCACTGTTTATATGTGAGACCTGTACTGCTGCTACAACAGTTAACCTTTCTGTTTTTCACTTATTTCCAAGACTGTTTCAGCATAACTAATTTTGAACAGTTTTCAGACAGTGATTTGAGTAGTTTATAAGAAGCTTTTTGTTTTCCATGTAAAGCAACTATTTCAATGTATATAATAGTGTGTTTCTTTCTAAATTTAGGGTAGAAAAGTAAATAGTATGCAAAAATATAGCTACATTGCATCTGCCATTGAAACATCTGGGGTATGAAAACGTTCCAGCTTTTTTCATTTTGCATTATAGATAAGCCTTGTCTTGTAATTGCACAAGTCCAGTCATTGAATCAAATTAATTTTTTGTGTACTTGAATCATTTTATTACTCTTAACATTCATGCTGAAGTTTTGATATTGTTGAAAACCATTGTTTTATTCTGCATATTTGTTGGCTCTTTGCATATTAATATATTAGACTACATGCAAATACAGTCTGTCTTGCCATTGTCTGTTGAAGTGCAGGTTTGATCCAGCCAGTATAGGACTAGCTCTGTAGGGGTGAGGAGGACTGTGCTGTGTATCATCCTTGATTGTGTTCCTTCAAGGAGCATTGCACTGTAAGTACATCAGAATGACAAATTGATGAACTGCAACAGTGTCTCTTTGTCAATGTTCCACATAATGCAATTGCTATATTTTGTGTGAATATTATGTTGGAATACAGTGCTGATATCTTAGGAAAACATAAACTGCCTTTTAACATAGAATAATACATAGTTCTGTATTTTTTTAAGTGAGCTTAATGGGTAAGTATTTTTGATATGCTTTAGCTAATAGCTAAAGAAGATTGATCATTATCAAAGTTGAATAGTATTATCTATCGGTGCTCCTAAAATGCCGATTTTTCAGTGTAAGATATGCATCTTTAATAGTGATATGAAAAACTTGAAATGTGTAAGACAGTGTTTTTCAGATTGCAAATTATAAGCAATGTAGCACTTAGCATCTTTTCATAAATATGTTTTATCTGTGGTGAGCACCATGTGTTTTGCATATGCTTTAAAGGAAGAGGTATGAGGACAGAAATGTTGAGGTAATAGGGCAGAAAACAGTACAGCTCATTGTGGATGTTTTGAAATGTTTTTGATTGTTTTATGTAACTTTGAGTGACTTCCCTTACCCTTATTTAGATATGGATACATAGTCTAGTTTGAAGTTTACTAGTTAAGGAGTTAACTATTAAGTGTAGGGTATTGACATGAACAGTTTTCAGTATTGCATGATGTTGTTGCATAGATGGATGACCTAGGAAAGTGGTGCATTTAGTAATTAAACTGAAGGAAATAGTTGAATTCAGTATCATTCACAAATTGGAGGCTGTTGATTGATTCGTTTAAAGTTTAAAATCCTTATTAATTGCAAACAGTGCAATTATTTATACTTCACAGTGCCTTCCCAGACCTTCCACCTTAGGTTCTGCTGCAAAAAGCAACAGGTAAGCACAACCTAAGGACATATATATAAATATATCAGTACATTAATGTTGTCCCTGTGAGGTTTTGTGGTTGTGTACTCAAAAGCAATCTGCTGCCTCCCCAAATGTATTTTGTTATTTATGCTACCATTCTAGTGGAAAGTCTGTTAATTTGTTGAAGCAACTGTTTATAATTTTGGGTAATGGTTATTTTAATTTTTTCATTAAAATAAAATGAGTAGATTGCTGTTAAAACTGAAAAACATCCAGATCTTTTTGTACCCATTTTCCCCAAGTTATAGAAGTGTTACAGTAAGAACAGTTAAATAGTTAAGACTTAAATCTTTTGGTCAGAAATTTCAACAGCCTTCACAGCCTGTTTGTATAACTGACAGGACATTTTCTTTACACTACAAGCCTGTGGTTTTAGTTTTGGTTTTATTTTTTTCCTCCTTTATTATTACTGCTTTAAAGTATAGTGATTCAGTAAGAACATTTTGGGTCAGTTTCCTAGACAGTTCTGTTTTCATGACTTGTATATGCTGACAAGGAAGACTAAGGAATACTGGCAGTAAGTTTTGAAAAAAAGGCATGTGCATCAGTGAAATGTTAACTGTGTCAAATAACTTTCATAGTCTGCATAACCAAGTTTCTGGTTTATATTTTAATAACTGACGCTGCATTTATTTTTTTTTTGCCAGTTTACAATGTTTGTGTTCTTAGGAATGATGTTTAACTAGTACATATTTTGACTTAAGATGACTGTCTTAAAACAGCACCGTATCAGTTTTGTTTTTAATTCAGTTTCTAAATGTGCTGATCCTATTAAAAACTCCTGCTTATCTTTACAACAAAGAAAAATATTCAAAAATACTGCCTTCATTTTCACACACAGTGCTGAAGATGCTGCAAGCACCAAATCATAGCTCATAATATCAGGTCCTGAGATAGTTACCCATAAAGAGGAATCCTTTGAGTGTATGCCATTGGTGAGCCGATGAGCATGGACCATAGAAGGGCTCAATGTAGAAGGTAAAATTGGCAAATCATAATTGAGAAATATGAAATGTATTCCCATACATAATATGGTATAGGGTATGATGTACCTGCTCTTAATCTTGATCACTTTTCATTTTAAAGTGCTATTCACTTAAATGTTCCATGAACTGTTAAAATTATATAGTTGTTGCACACACTGTGTGTGTGAGTGTGTGTGTGAGAGAGAGGGGGGGGGGAGAGAGATAGGTTGGGTCGGTATCTCTTTAGAGCCTGTGAAGTTTTGGTTAGCTGTAGTTGGCGTTTGGAAATCTGGATGAATGCTTATAGATATTGGGGATTGTTTCTGTCTTGTGAGAAGTTTCAATTCGTTACCATAAACCTTCACTGGTTTAAAGCATTTTAAATAGCACCAAACTTAACTTGTAAATAAACTTGAAAGCAGAAAAGGTGCCAGTTGATTTGAATTCAGATTTTTAAGGTAGAAAATTGAATGGTTTAGCTTGAAATTAAACTCATATTTAAACAAGTTTACAGATTTTTTTAATGACATACATGTTAGTGGAGTGATAACTTAGTGTTCATTGCTTTGATGTTTGTTTCAGAAATGTATACTTGTTTTTTAGTAATGAGAATCATTTTAATAATATTAAAACTAGTAATTTGATACTAATTATAAAGTGTATTAAACAAATATCTTGGTAGTTAATTCATTAAAGTCAGTTTAGATAGCAATAGCAAGTGCTTCCCTAAGTTTTCATTCACTTTTGAATGCTTTGCCAATACAACCAGTTCTTCCTAAAAATGGTTAACATGTTGTATAGAATGTTGATGTAGAATTAACTGATCACTGGAGATGTCTTTTTTTTCTTTTTCTTTTTTTTTTTTTTTTTTTTTTTGCAAATTCTGCCTGGCTTTAAAATGCATTTTCATAATACTTAGATAATTTGACCGAAAATGACCCTACTTTTTGTTTGATCAGTCAGTCGAATTGAGAAATTTTTTTTAAATGATGGCTTTAAAAAAGCAAATGCCAGGGCTTTAGTTTCTTGAATGATACCCTAAAGAAACTCTTAATGTATTTGCAAATATATATATATTTTCTTATGCATGCTCGATGCATTTTCGTCCTGAGAAAAGTGTTCTCTACAGAAACTACCCGTGTGTTAAAAGAAGATTGGCTTAAAATGGCTACTGTGATGGGAACAGTGTCTTAGGGAGATGCAGCTTGGACTGGAGGTAAATTGAATACTTTACAAACTGGTTTAGAGTTTTGCTTTATTGACATTGTATGTAAAGGGCATTGGATTGTTGTTATTTTGTATTCTTTATGGTTTTCTTAATTTAAAACAATAAATGTACAGTGATGACTTACCAGAGTGCTTTTTTTGTCTTTTGTGTCTTTGATATGTATACTGAGTTAAAATTTTTCTCCTTTATTTCTGTCATTAAAAACTTACTGTGAAAAAAATACTGGTGGTGGTTTTGCCTTTTTAATTCTAATGATAAGTTGTTTAAACTTTTAAAAGAGCGGATAGCCCATTGCATAGCTTTTTAGGGGGGGGGGGTTCGAGACAAGGTTTCTTTGTGGTTTTGGAGCCTGTCCTGAAACTAGCTCTTGTAGACCAGGCTGGTCTCGAACTCACAGAGATCCGCCTGCCTCTGCCTCCCATTGCATAGCTTTTAAAATAAGAATAAAAAAGGCCTTTTGATGCACAGGTAACTTTATTATGGTTTCATAATGTAAAATAAAATTGTTTTCCAAGAAATTGAATATAAATATAAAACAACCAAATAATAGAACATAAGTTATAATTATTTACAGACTTCTTTGTTGTTATTAGAGACAGTCTCTATGTAGTCTTGACTGTCCTGGAACTCACTATGTAGACCAGACCAGGCTGACCTTGAACTTATAAATCTAGAATTTTAAAATCACTTTTCCCTGAATCTAATCCTCTTAAATCTTGAAATCTTCAACTGTGTTTTTTTTTAAAGCCACATTTGTTCCTGCATGGAATACTAATATTTTCTCATTATAGTATCGTTTATTCATTCAGGTCACAGCATAAACTTTAGTATGGTCATTATACATTTGAGACACATGTGTTAATATCTATCACACTTGGAACACTGCTTAAATGTTGGTTTTTATCAAATTTGATTTAGTAGTTTAGAAAAAAAATTCCTGCTTGGGTTTTCCTTTCCAGCAGTCCTCTTTGTCAGTGTATCTTCAGAAAGACTGGCTTCCGCAGCAGACTGTCCTCTCTGGCTAACTTTAGATGTAAAACTCCAGTTATTCATGCAGACTTTAAACATAATGGCTATAAATATGGAAGACACAAAGCATTTGCTTTAGGTTCATACAGGAGTACATTTCCCTTCCCTGTCGACTACATTTTGACTGGGCATAACGTGGTAACCCGATGTGCACTGGAAAAGGCATTCTTTGGATCAGCTAGTTGGAAGATGTGGGGAAAAGGTATTAGGTCAAGTTGGTGCCACCTCTGGTCTCCTTTAGTCCCTCCACAGAGATGTAGCAAGAGAGTTGGAGAGAGAGAGTTCCAAGGAGAGAAGGAAGCCTAGTAGTCATCCACTAAAAAAAAAAAAAAAAGAGAAGAATGATATTTTTCCCATTTATTTCCTTAATAAAATAAAAGATTAAAAGTCAATTCTTACTTTCAATGGTAAGAATGCAGGTACTTGCTGCAGAGCCTTTATTGTTGACTGCTTTACACATATATTCTCCTCCATCTTCCGGGAAAGTTTCTGGCAAATAGAGGCAGTAAGTTTCACCTCTTTCAATGTACTGATAGTCTTCTCCATCCTGTAGCATCTCTCCTTCAAACCACCATGTGATTTCTGGCTTGGGCTCTCCTGTCACTTTAACAGTAAATCTGACTGGCTCACTGTCAACAACTGAGGTGTTTCTTAGAGGCTTTTTGAACCATGGAGCTCCTGATCTGGTTTGCTCCTCATCTTCAGTGGGAGAACCATTAATGATGCTCCCTTCTTCTTCTTCCTCATCTTCTCGTCTCTGTATTAAAATAAGTGCATTTATTAAGTTGTCATTTGTTTGTATTAATAGAATTTTGGAGGTAAAGAAAGTTTTGGGTATATATAGCTCAGTGTTGGAGCATTGGCTAGCATGCATGGTACCCTGGGTTTCATTGATTGTAAAACCATTCAAATGGCTTGAAAGCTATGAGGACAATGCCTTAATTGCTTGTAAATGGGTTAAGAACTCCCTCTGATATGTAGGTGCATACCTTCTGTAATGCTGCATCAATTTCTTTCTGTTCAAACTGCATTCGTAGTAACTTCTGTTCTTCAATTCTCCTTTGTTCTTCTTCTTCTCTTGCTTTAGCCATTTGTTCAAATCTGGCTTTCATATTCACTTTATGAGTAAAGGGAGATTCACTCTTTTTTGCAGGCTTTACATCAACATCGTCGTCCTTAAAAAAGAATGAAAATTGCTTGCCAAATGAATGCATTAGTGATTTGGTAATTTACAAGCACAAAATATTTAACGCTTGATTTGCTTTTTGTGATACTGTAGCTATTTAGATTTTCAGGAAAAGTGAGAAAACGTGCAAGTTTATTGCTTCTTCAAAACTGCATTTAGAAAATCAGAGAGTTGACTAACTGAAAGGAATGTCAAACAGCTAAACATCCATGTTCTCTTTTCTAGAACCTTTGGAAAACTAGACTGGTGTTATGGGAAAGAAACCTAAAGTCATAGGGCACTGACAGTATTGGTGCCAGGATATTAAAGCAGCATAGTGTTCTGGAATACAGCAGGACATTAGAAAACCAAGTCAGAGGCTGAGAATGTAGCTCCATTGGTAGGCAGAATGCGGGTCTAGCATTCATGAGTCCTCAAACGTGACTCTTAACTCCATACCTGCATCTGGTGGTCCAACACTTGGTGGAAGTGAGAGGTTTGTTGCCAGCTTGGGATACTGAAGACAAATTTAGACACTGTATAACCTTAATTGGTTAACCAAATAGGGGGTATAAAGTACTATGAGTGGATATTGGATTCTTTAATCGAAGGTTGTATGCGTCCCTTCAAAGAAGTCTGGAGTCTTCTGGAAGTTTGAAGGCATAATTTGTAGTTCCCACCCCAAGACAAGATGTCTAGCTGGCCTGGAACTCACCACATTCAACATTAAAAGCCTAAGTTTGCCCTCGGATGAGAGGTGCAGCACCACTCTCTTACAAAACATTGATAGCTCTCAACAGGAGACAGTTGGAGGTTGGAGAGGAAGTCTATCACTGGAAGTGTTTTAAAGGTCATTAAGGGCCTTTATCCAAGGGATAGAAGAGAATTACACATTCTTCAGATTGAGTACAACCTAATCTGACACCTGTGCCAAAAGCAGAAAAGCATCAAACATACTGGTTCTATTTTTTTGTTTTGTTTTGTTTTACAGATTTTATAATGGCTATCTTTAACAAAAGAACAACTGCTTGGTAGACTGGGGTTTTGTTTAAAACAAGGTCTGGAGCCCAGACTACTCTTGACTCATCCTGTCTCTTCATACCCATCTTGAATTTTACCTATGTTTAAAGATTCTATTTTTTTTTTGTGCCACATGGCTAGTAAATGCTAGTGTTCTCCAATTATCACAAGACTACTATTTTACTACTTTCCCACTGTTACCAATAATTTTACAAAATACACATGCATCTCACTAAATTCAGAACCAGCGTCAGACTGTCTTTACCTTGCTTAACACAATTTAATACCTCACCAGACTTGATAAATCTAGCACCTGCTGGTTTCCCTGGTGATGGTGCCACAATAGTAAGGTCCTCAGCAACCATCTAGAAGAGAACTTACCCCATTTTGTAAAGAAAAAAAAAAAGGTCTTGCCAAGCATGGTACATGTCTAGTGTCAGGAGGTGGACACTGAAGAATCAGGACTCCAAGGGTTTTTTTTTTTCTGTTACCTAGCCTTTGGTCCTGCCTTTATGACTGTTTTCCACTTCATTGTGATGCTAGGATTCTTTGGTAGAACTATTTAGAATTTCTATTATGACATTTTTGCTGATTACAGTTCTTGTAAGGTGAAGTCCTTTCACAACTAGCCACAAAGTACTTTGACAACTTCATAACCTATTCAGTTCAGTCATACCATTATAAAGTCCTTGGGATCTGTTTTAGAGTCCCTCAAATAAATTAGTGCAATCTTGTTGACTTCCACTGTCCCTCATTCTAGAATGTTCCTCTTACCACAACATTTTTTATGAGACTACTTTACAAATGAGAAGATAGCCTTTGACCCTAACGACTGAAAGTTATTTTCACAGGACAGTAAGAGGAAACATTTCCGGCAGAAAGCATTTCAGAAACAAAGGCAGGTATTGAGGAATACAGCCTGCTTGGTTAAAAAGCATGGAGTCTGGAATGGTACAGAGACAGGATACATGCTGGCTAGGGAGCAAAGCCATCAGCACTCTAAAATGTTAAGATTGAGCCATTTCTGGCTTGGATCACAAAGCATTGTGAAAGAATTTTCTACAGAAACCCCAAAGGGGGGCAGGGAAAGCTGCCACTGTTACATCACGCTGAAATGCCTCAGCCCTACAAACCTCTTAAGCACACTATGTCCAATGTAGCTTCACAGCAGCAGCTAACATCCAGCACAATAGATTGTCATACCATTGGCTCATTTGTGTGTCTCCAGACCAACTGTCACTTATCCTGCTTTGCTTCTAAATTTAATTTGCTACCATTCCACTTTTTCCTCATTTTGCACTCTATCCATTCTTCCCTCATCCTTTTGGACTCAGTATTATATGATGAGCTAAATGGTCTTTTGCTATTTTCAGATTGTTAGAGAAATACCAATAAGTAACTGTAAAACTAACTTATTTTAAGATTAAGGTTATAACAAATACAATAATAATGTACCTCGTGGAAATTTTCTGCTTCTCGCTCTTTAATTTCAAGGTCAATTGCTCTCCTCTTTGCTCGCTCTTCTTCTATCTTTTTCTGTATTTCTTTTTCAGACAACTGTCCAATTTTTTCAAACTTGCTTTTTAGATTTTTAGCTTGAATAGAACCACTTCTTTTTAATTTGATTAATTCTTCATATTCTCTACTCAATCCAAAAGTTTCATTTTCTTCTTCCTCCTTCAAGAGAGCAAGATTTCTGTATGTTGGTTATCAGTGTATTACAGGGGATCTCCTGCCCATCTGCGCGTGAATGTGGGGCAGGGAGTATGTTCCAAGACAACCAAGCAGATTCCTGGAAGCCACTGGTCAGATGGTATCCTATATGTACTGTTTTAAGAGTTTTCTGGGTTTGGAGAGATGATTTAGAGGTTAAGAGCACTGGGTTCAGTACCTAGCACCCACATGGAGGTTTACAATCTTTAACTCCAGCTCCAGGGGATCTGACACTTTTCAGGCCCGCTGGTACTGCTTGTAATAAACGTGCAGGCAAGAACACCAAAACACATCAAGTAAGTTTTAAGTAAAAACATTTACTTATTAAGAACTTCCAGTTCCAGGATAGGCTCCAAAGCTACAG